ACAAATAAATAATTGGGAATATTTTTTAAATCTATTCTTGTCTCCATATATATATATGTATGTATTCATGTATATAATTCCCATTCTTGTCCCTATATATATATATATATATACATGTATATAATTCATGCTTGATTTTTTCTAGTCCACTTTCTCCTTAAATAACATATTATCTTTTTAAACAAAAATTATATATTTTATTAATTAACTAACATATATATATATACATACACACACACTAAATATAATATAATTGAAATTTAATGATTTAATTTTTGAGAATTTGTAACTTTAATACTATATTGAATAATTTATGATTGTAATTAGTTAAATATTTAAAGAGTCTATTAAGTTTGAAATTCATTGTTTATAATATTAATAAGTTTAATATGAATGATATTCATAGCTAGTCACATCTTTCATGCGCTGGAATCACACTTTCCACTTGATATATACATATATATATAATATAATATAAAATAATATAATATATATATATGTATATAGATACACATTTGATTATATTAGTGTAAGGCAATGGAGGAGCTAATTTTGACCTTAGAGAGCTACAATTTTTATACTTTTTTTTTTTAAGTTCTTTCAATTAAGCATATAATATATATATGTATATGTATATGTATATGTATATGTATCCAAAATTTATGTCAATCTCAGAGGTACTTCCCTGGAGATTAATTTGAAATCCTGACATGTGGGTGGTCAATATTTCTTCAAGTGTTATGAGCTAACTAGCTGTAGTTCATAAAGAATTTTGTGTTTGATTCTCATAAGTGCTTATTACCTTTTCTTTATTCTGTGAATACAAAGTCTCACTATATACATTGAAAGTGAAGCAGGAAGGTGACATTTATTTATATTTTTTATGTAAATATATATATATATATATATATGTTAGAATTTTTGTGATAGGTGTAATTAATGTAAATTTTAGTATGCGTATGAGGTTATTAATTTAATGTATTCGTTTAAAAATGATCAAATATGATTAAACAGTATTAAATTTTAATACATCGAGTTTAAATATAAATTTGTAAATATTTTTATTTTATGACGTACGAAATGGAAATTACAAAAATTTGTTAATATAAAAAGTGATTACAGTTTTTGAATCAAAAATTTATTATTTTATTTTATTTTTATAAAATTCTCTCATAAAAAAACATTAATTTTTTAATTATGGTGTTAGTTCGAAAAATTTACCATCGGATGCAAATAATTCTTCTGCGATAGATATAGATACCCTTCCGCTTATAATTTTCGTTAATTCAGTACGAAATTATATATTAAATTTCTACGTATTTTGAATTTAAAAAATATTTTTATTCCAAGAAAGCATTAATAATTTAATCATAATTCATTAATCATGAGGAATAACTTATATATATATATAAGGAATATCTTCTGTATACCATATATATATATATATATGTATATGAGATGGGTTGAAATGAGATAAACTCCAAATTTTGGCTCTTACTTGAAAGAATCATAGAGCAGAGAAACAAGAAAGAAAGAAAAAGATAAGCACCAATGATGGAGCCCATACCATAAGGCATTATGGGGAAACTCTCTCTATCTCTATTTCTATATATGTATATATATAACCATTTTATCTCTTTGAACAAATTCCCAAGACACTGCAAATTCACAGTAATACAGTGCAACTCTTCTGCAACAAGCAAGCCTCAAGATTTGTCTGAAGTGGGAAATTAGAATTTAATGAAATCTGAACTACTGAGTTTTAAGTGAGTCAGTATAATCTTAATTAATAGACCATTGAGATTAATTATGGTATAATCACCATTAATTAGGGTGGGGAGCTACAAATTAAATCTTTCTTTTCACAAATTTTTGAAGAATTGTTTCTCTGTAGAAAAAATTATGGGGTGATGGGTGGATGATGATGATGATATATATATGGATGTATGTATGTGTATAGATATAGGTAGGGAGAGAGATATAACGTGTGTGTGTATATGTATGTGTGTGTGTGTGTGTGTGTGTGTGTGTGTGTGTGTGTGTGGAGGGTCAATTTTAGAAAAAAGGAGAAGTGAAATGAACATGAGAGGAGGATAAGAAGCCAAAGGCTCTCCATTATGAAAGATTCCTTACGACGCTTCCTCGAGAGGCGTGTGCTCCTCTCATGCCTTTCTCTGTAGGTCCCATTTCCCTCTTCTTTTCTTCCTCCATGTTCGTCTTCTTCCTATAAATACCTCCTCTCCCTCCCACCGAAATCACCATTAACACAACTCCATACTTCATTCGTTAACCGAAGCCTTTTTCTCCAAGATATCAACCATGTCGGACACCTGCGGCAACTGCGACTGCGCTGACAAGACCCAGTGCGTGTAAGTATACCTTATACCTATTCTCTTCTCCTTCCGCTATCAATTAATGGCTTTCTGGTTAATGGTTTTTGCATCCCCATCATCATCTTCCTCCATGCACGGTCGTCAAACCCTCCTCTCTCGTTACATCTCACTCTCTCTCTCTCTCTCTCTCTCTCTATATATATATATATATATATGTGTGTGTGTGTGTGTGTGTGTGTGTGAGTGTGTTTATTAAATATGTAATTATATAGGCTTGCATGTTCTTCTTTCGTCTCTCCCGTCAAGGTTTTAGGGAAACAGGTGTTTGTATCTGCAACTGAAGTCTTGGTTGAATATATATTAATGTTTTGGGTTTCTTCAAGATCAAATTTTGAGCAGATCTGATCAAGGCTTGGAAATTTTTGCCTCTCGGTTTCTTGTTGATGACTTTACGAATCACACACGGACATGCTCTTGTTTTGATCTCCATGCATGCATGTTATATATATATATATATACATATATACACACACATCAAAGTTGTTTGCTTCACAAATTAATCATATGATCTCAAGACCTGTTTCGACGATTTTGTAACTACAGGAAGAAGGGAAGCAGCTACACTGCTGACATCATTGAGACTGAGAAGAGGTATATATTTCTACGCCGGAAAAGTTCATATATAGTTAATACAAAACAGTAAGAAAGATATACATACATATATGTAGCTATTACAGATTGATTGTTCATGCATGTAAATTAATCCAGGCAGACTCCACAAAGAAAAACAAAAAATATATACATTATACATGGGTTTTATATGTGTGTATGGTGAGAGTTATACTAATATCTTTGTTGATGGTTGGCATGCAGCATCATGACAGTGGTGATGGATGCTCCGGCAGCCGAGAACGACGGCAAGTGCAAGTGCGGACCAAGTTGCAGCTGCACCAATTGCACCTGCGGTCACTGAAGCCAATCTGATAATTAAAGTACTAAATTAATGGTGAATAATTTGTGTTGCATGCTGTGGGTGTCTGAGTGTGAATGTTTGTTGTGTAAACTGATCGGACATTGATTATATCGTATGTGTCTGTCTGTGTACTTTGATTTCAGAGTCATGTAATATTTGGCCATGTGGTTGATGATCAATTAAATGCAGTACTATTAGAATAAACACCTCTTCTAATGATTACATCTCTTGCTTCTTGTGTATCTATACACACTTAAGACTTAAAATAATACTGAATCTATATACACATTAGTCCACTAGATCTTATATGTAATTCCTCATAAAAATTTCTTCCAAAATCAATATCAGATCATGAAAAATTTAGCATAATCTTCGAGTTTAACCAAGTATAATATCTATATTCATCACAGACATAACCTAAATATAAATTTGAAGTGCATAAACCCATTTCTTCCACATACTGCCTGAACAAATTATGTTATAGAGAAATGATTATATTCAACATCATTGGTTTAACAGATAAAAGTGCGGCTGTAGAACATCAAGATTCCAAAAGAAATACCTCCTGTAATAAAATAAATTTGACCAGGCAACAAACATGCAATAACAGGATCTATGTTCTTCTACACGGCACCATGAATAATAACAGCATGCTTCTGACTGAGAATCGGCTTTTCAGAACATTTCTGCCGTCATAATGCACATCAGGTTGACCTAAAGTCCTAAACTCTCTTCTGTTTGATTTAGAGGAATCTCTCAATACAATCTTTACAAAGCATTAGGATAATCAAATCATGGAACCAACAGTTTTTCTGAGGAAGACAATAAAGATAGTAACAATTAAAACCAAATTGTAGAAGCAAGCTGCACACGATTTAAGAACAGAGAGATAGCTTCCAATTTACTACTATCTATATTGCCTTCCCACAGTGTTTACTGTCTTGATTTCATATAAAAATTTCCCGCATAAATTTTTTCATAGCAAATTTTCCCACAGAAATGTCAAGATCAAGTAATCTTGTGGAGAGTAGACAAGCAAACATAGACAACAATGTAACGAAGTATTTTAAACTTATCACCATATTTTGGCCCATAAAAGAATGTATCAAATTGTTTCTATAAATGGGCCAAGCAACGACAACATTGCTTTATTGCCTAAAGTTGTAATTTATCATATCGGCATGTGTAGTCCCCAAATTGAAAGTAAGTACTCCAAACCGGTTTCTTTTGTTAACTTTATTCTGTCTTACCAATGTCAAACATTAAAGCCCTCTGCACGAAGGCACTTACGATGAGCTTCAATCCATTTTGCACAAGCTTCTTCACCATGTTGCACAATGCATTCATCTCTCAGTTTCTTGGTATCAGGACAAGCACAGCAGATTTTCTTCTTTGGCTTTGTTTCTGGGCCAGTTGACGTGACTCCAGAACCCTGGTTTGCCTGTGAACCGTGCAAAGCCAAGGAGGAGGAGATATTTTGCATGGATACCCCACTCATCCTGACAAATCCTTTGGAAATAAAGGACACTGAAAACAGGCAGACCAAAGAACAGAAAAAGAATAAATGTTAAATAATGCAGATTAGAGACAACAGAAAAAGAAACATGAAGTATTAAAGCTTTGGATAAATGATTAGATCTCAGTCTGCACTTTCAAAGACAAGAAGCATTCTTTTCTTTCTTATTCTGAGTACACTGCATTTCGGACATAAGAAGTTTCACATGTAACTGCAGCTTGAAAATATGGTCCCATTAATCAAGTATGAGGAAGAGGGAGAAATAAAGTTATAAGATAGAAATTATCATGACTAAACTTAATATATATAGAAATTATTTAATCCATGTCAAATTAGACTGAAACAACTTGCACGCCATTCAGACTCTAACTTCTTGTTAATTCTCTTTTTGACTTTGATGTTGAGTAGGTTATATGAATCAGCAACCATTAAAAGCATCCTTAAGAAAAAGAATATATAACACTTCTTCGAGCATGAAGCAAGCTCAAATAAACTTGAACCCATATCAGAGGGTATGAGGAAGTGGGAAGTCTTTAGGGAGGGTAATTGAGATGAAGTATACGTGGATGGGCTGGGATGGTTTCTAATTTCCTAGGGGTTCTCGTGGGGTGGGGTTGTGGAGAAGAAATAAGCATGGGGTGGGGAGTCTTCAGGAGGATACTAGATGAAGGATGCCACTGTTAAAGAGTCCTTGGTGGGAACCTAGGGTGATGATATTGCTCCTAATAAGGACGCTAAAGGAGCCCTTGGTGGGAACCTCGGGTAATTAGGATTGGTGTGTGGAATTGATTAGACATTTTAATGATTCAGAGATATGAAGTTTATGGAAACACACTCTGTCAAAATGGACCATACTTCTAACGACAAGCCATTATGGAATTAAACTCTTAAAAAATCTTCCCAGTGAAATCTTTTTATGGTCATCTGATGGCAGGTGCGGTAGAGAGAGGTGAGTTTCCAGCCAAACAACTCTAAGGATAGCCTTTTTCTCTTGGGAGGGAACAAAGGAATGTATCCTGACTTGACAAATTGATAGAGAGGGGAAAACTTCTACTGAATGGTTGCTACTTGTGCAAGAGGCATGCCGAATATTGTAGCCATATCCTTTTGTGGTGCCCGTTTGCACATCAGCTATGGAACTTGGCTCATGCTTTATTAGGGTTGAATTAGGTTATTGCTAGATCTATTAAAGATGAACTGTGTGTTTCGAGAGGCATTCAAGGGGATAAAAGCGGAAGGCAAATTCTTATTTCTGGAGTAGGATTGTAACGATCTCAAAAATTAAAGGAAAATGTATATATATATATAAAAA